TTCCTTTTGTTTGTGGATTTTTTTTAAATTTCTTTTGTTTTTGTAGGTTTTGTTCTTACTGAAACTTTATGTTTTTCCTTCTTTATTTTGATGAGTAGGTTTGTTAACTTTCTTTGTGGTTACCTTGAAATTTACCCTTATCCTCCTAGATTTGAACCAGTCTTTATTACTTGGTATCACCTTGCCTTCCACTCCATTAGAAGGTTCTATACCTACACTGTTTATTGACTCTTTTATTGTTCTGATGCTGTTGTCATTTACAGAGTAACCTCTCTGGTTCCCTGTTGTAATTCTTTTGGTTTTGCATAGTCCTTCAGAGTTCATTTCCTAGGTTGGTATCTAGCTAGTACAATCCTGTGTCCTATATTCAGCCTGTGGTGATGTTATTTGTTCTCAGATGGAAGGACTCCCTTTAATAAGTCTTGTAAGTTTGGTTTTTACATAGTCCCTTAATTTCTGTTTATCTGGAAATGCACTAATTTCACCATCATATTTGAGAGACAGTTTTGCTGGATATATAATTCTTGGCTGGCAATTTTTTTCCTTCAAGGTTTTATATATGTCATCCCATTGCCTTCTTGCTTGCATGGTTTCTGCTGAGTAGTCTGAGCTTATTCTTATTGACTCTCCTTTGTAGATGACTTTTTGTTTATCCCTAGCCGCTCTTAAAATTTTCTCTTTATCTTTGGTTTTGGCAAGTTTGATTAAGTCTTGGTGACTTTCTTTTGGGATCTACCTTATGTAGGGTTTGATGAGCATCTTGGATAGATATTTTCTCATCTTTCACGGTATCAGGGAAGTTGTCTGCCAACAAATCTTCAATAATTCTCTGTGTTTTCTGTTATCTCCCTGTTCTGGTACTCTAACCACTTGCAGGTTAGTCCTGTTGATAGAATCCCACATAATTCTTAGGGTTTCTTCATTTTTTAAAATCCTTTTATCTGATTTTTCCTCAAATCAGCTGGTGTCAAGTGCTTTATCTTCAATCTCACTAATTCTAACTTCCATTGCCTCAATTCTGCTCCTCTGACTTTCTACTGAGTTGTCTAATTCTGACATTTTATTGTTAATCTTCTGGATTTCTGATTGCTGTCTCTCTATGGATTCTTACAGCCTGTTAAATTTGTCATTATGCTCTTGTCTAATCTTTTTAATTTCCTCTGTTGCGTGTTCTGCATTTTGATTAATTTTCTTCCTAATTTCTTGAAGAGTTCTGTATATTAATCTTTTGTATTCTGCCTCTGGTAATTCCAAATTTTCCTCCTCTGAAAAATTTCTTGATTCTTTATTGTGGGAGCTTGTTGAAGCCATCATGGACTGCCTCTTTATGTGATTTGATATTGACTCTTGTCTCTGAGCCATCAATAAGTTATTATATTTATGTTTGCTTACTGTGTCCTAGCTTCTTGCTTTGTTTTGACATGCCCAAATAGGCTGCTCATGCGAGCTAGTTTGATTATTGGCACCTTTGAAGCTCTAATGTCCTGTCACCAGGTGGTTAGATCTGTTACTAGGTATGTGAGCTCAGGAGTCCGCCCACTCCTCCTGTATGGATTTGGCTCAGGTGCCCAGGTAGATAGCCACCAAGTGTGTGGTGCAGGCTGTCACCTACAGTCCTAGACAGGCATGGATGACTGGTGTAGGCACAGCCATCTGCCTCAGCAGGGGGACACACTCTGAGCAAGGTAGGGGGTTGATGGCCGCCCCCGAGTGTCCAGGAGGAAGGCATGTCCCTGTTCCCTAGAGCGTGCAGGTGGCTCGGTTTTGCAGCCGGACTATGAGCACCCAATGCTGTTGGCTGTAAGGACTGGGGGGCACCTCTTATTCTTGGGCCCCTACTGCAGGTGGCTAGGTGGCATGGGTGGAGCCACCAGACCTCAGGCCCCTGATGTGGGTAGGTGAAGACCCTGCTTAATAGGCAGAGCAGAGACAAATGTCATGAATCTGTCACTTCACAGCTGAAACAGTTGAAGTTAGACTTCAGGTATGTACCCTGTTGTAGTGTGGTAGTGAGGGCCTACGTTGTTGAAATGGGCCCACACAAGTCTATGCAGGCGGAAAGGTATTCAAAGTCTGTGGATCCCTTATGCCTGTGTCTAGGCGAAGGAGCTGTGCCTACCTTGAGTTCCTGGCTTAGGAGCACCGGAGTTTATTTTTACCCTGTTTGTTAATCTGTTCACTCTCCAAGGCCGGGAGAATGGCTCAGGGCATGTGACAGATCGTACTTCAGGCCCAGGGGACTTGGCAATTGCTGAAGCCGGTCTGGGACCCAGTGCAGAGCAGGGAGTAGGGAGGTAAATGGGAGAGAGGTTTCTCCCCGAGGGGGGTGTTTTTGATCTGTGCGGCAGGCCAGATGCAAATACTTACCTTTCGTTGAGGGCTGCTTCTCACTGGTTCTGTGTGGCTGAGTAGACTCTCAGCTGCTGGGTCTCTCCCTGTGCAGAATATGCCTCCCAAGCACCGATGCTTGCCTGTCTCACCACTCACCCCCGAGCTGATCAGGCCTGAAGGGTTTAGGCTCTCGCTGGGTCAGGTCTGGCAACTGCTTGCTGCTTCCGAACCATCTCTCCCTCCCCCTGCCACTCAGTCTGGTTCCTCAATTTTGCCTTTGATGTTCAGGGCTCCCAGACTGTCATACATAATCGAATCACTTGTTTTTTTGGGTCTTTGTTGTAAGAGGGTCCATCGGAAGCATCTGACTACTCTGCCATCTTGGCCCTGCCCCTCAAGACCCATTGTTGACTCAGAAAATATATCGAACAAGTCAGAAATCTTTAGAAGGTATGTGAATTTTATATGTGATTATTAGTATCACATTTCTCTTACCTTTTCAAACTTTAATTTCACTGGTTTAGGATTGGTAGCAGTTACAGCTTCAGCAATTTCTTGACCAATCTTAAAAGACTGCTCCTTAGTGGCTCCTTTCAGTAGCACAAACATACTAAGGGAATTAAATACAGATAAGGTAATGAGGAAGTAATTGTAACAAAATATTTCATGGAGAGTAACTTTCCTGGCTAATACTCTAACATCAAAGAAAACCCTTTATCCCTTACTCATCCTTAATAATAAGTTGCTTCCTATCTAAGCTTTCATGTTTTATCACACTTTCCTTGTCTACTCATGGTATATCTAGTTACAGATCTTTAAGACATCCAATATTTCTAGTTTAGTTACACAGAGACTAGCTAAGACGGTCCTGGGCATAAAGCTTTGTATGGCACATAGTTAAGTCAATCATAAAATATGAGAAAATGTGCTTAGAGAAATGGAAAATTCACTTGTAATACAGGAGGGAATTTCTTTCCAGAACTGCCCAACTTCAAAACACAGAGATATATCCTGTAATATATATTAATTGAAGGACAGTTAGAAAATAGACAAAGCCACAAAGAAGAAAACAGCCATCTGTAGTCCTACCATCTAGAAAAAGGACACTATAAACATTTTGTGTATATCTGTAAATCTTTTCTCATTTGGGATCACAGATCAAACTGTTTAGCAACTTTCTCTTTGCCTTTAATGGTACAGTGTGAACATTTTCCTATGTCATTTTTTTCTACATTATTTTTACAGTTGCATAGTATTTCAATGAATAGATATATTTTAATTTAACTAAATCTCTATTATTGAAAAAGTAAGCTGTTAAGTTTTTTTTTTTCTCTAATATTGCATATATAAGTTATTTAAGGAGCCCTGGTGGCACAGTGGTTAAACGTTCGGCTGGTAAGTGAAAGGTCAGCATTTCAAACCCATCAGCCACTCCGTGGGAGAAAGATGTGGTAGTCTACTTCTGTAAAGATTTACAGTCTTGTAAACCCTACGGGGAGTTCTACCCTGTTCTATAGGGTCACTATGAGTTGGAATCAACTTGATGGCAATGGGTTAATAGTTATTTGGCACATTTCTGATTATATCCTTAGGATAAATTCCTAGAAGTGAAATTTCTGAGCAGAGTATGAACGTTTCTTAAGTTTTAAAAAAGATACTGTCAAACTGATTTCCAGAAAGATTCCCCTGATGTAGAATCTCACCAGCAGTATGCAGGTCAAGAGGAAAGGATTTCTAATACAGATAAAAAATACCAAGAGAAAAGGGATATTTTCTCAAAAATAACTGGTAAAACTAAAGTACTGGGCATTTTTCCTCTACTATAATCCAGTTAACTTTATAATAGCATTTTACATCTCAGTATGTAGCTCAATCTGAACATCAACAAAAATAATGACTAATAAGTATAATATTTAAGTTAGAGAGATTATAAAGTTTATCTTCACTCATAATTTAGTGGAAAGGCATTAAAGAGTGGAAAAGAACAATATCTTGAAATGTGATTTCCTGATACGTTTCTAGTGTTAGAGACAAACCAACCTCATATTTCTAAAATGTTTTCATATTGGACTTTAAATCTCATTTGGATGGTCTGTTTGGAAATCCTTCCCTGCCAATACTGGAGACAGAACTTGTCTTAGAGCCTAATATGAGAAGCTAAAAAAAAAAAAGGAGTACATATTCAATTTTACTTAAGGTTTTTAAAATAAAAGTTGTTTCAATGTGAATTAATTTTAACATTCACTAGGGCAGAACACACAGGCCTTAGATAATTAACTATGCCTTCAGGCTAGGCTATACTCTGAACTATTTAAACTTTTAATAATATTTTCTTTTTTAGGCCCATCTGATGCTTATTACACCATAAAGCCTTATTGTTTCAGTAGAATGACTGTTATTTTAAATAAACTTTATTGAAGTTTTATTATTATACATAATAAATTTTATTATACATAATAAAAGTAACACATTTTTAGTGCAGAAGTCCATGAACTTTTGACACATGTAAACACTTGTATAGCAGCCACCACAATCAAGATATAGAACATTTTCATGACCCCAAAAAGTTCCCTTGAACTCCTTTAGAATAATTCTCCACTTTACTCTTGACTCCAGGCAACCACTGACCTGCTTTTTGTTACTGTAGATCAGTTTTGTGTTTTCAAGAATTTCATATAGATGGAACCATACAGTATATACTCTCATATGTCTGGTTTCTTTCACTTGGCATAATTTGAGATCCATCCATGTTGTTGGGAGTGTCAGTAATTGGTTCCTTTTTATTGCCATTGTATGGATATACCACAATTTCTTTATCCATTCATCCATTCATGGATATTTGGGTTATTTCTAGTTTTAGGTTATTATGAATAAAGCTGCAATGAAAATTCATATACAAGTCTTTCTGTGGACATATGTTTTCACTTCTCTTGGGTAAAATTGCAAGGAGTGGAATTGCTGAGTTATATGTTAAGTGTGTGCTCAACTTTATAGGTAACTGCTGAACTGTTTTTCTGAAAGATTATGCTTAAAATGTTCATATGCAATGATGAATGCAAACATTTCAAAATTAAAGTGTATATTACACACATTTCTATAAAGTTCCAGAATAGGCAAAACCAAGCTACTAGGAATCAGATAAGTGGTTGCCTGGGGATGGTGGTGAGGGTGAGGGATTGACTGCAAAGGGGCATGAAGGAACTCCCTAGGTGATAGAAATGTTCTATATCTTGAATGGGGTGGTGGTTGATTACATAGGCCTATGTATTTGTCAGACTCCTTGGACTATATACTGTGTACTCACTTAAAAATTACACCTCAATGAAGTTGATAAAAAATTAAAGGTACAGATACTTTACATCTTAAAAGCTATTATTATGGGGTATATATTTGAGATTTTACCCAGTAGTGTTAGTGTTTTGTTTGAGTCCATCTAGGCTATTTTGGCCAGTTTGATTTGGAGCTAAACTTCATGAGAGCTGGCCAGGATTAATGGAAGATTTTGGTCACTTAAGAGAATGGAGGTGACTAGCCTATAAGCAAAAGACTGTTTTGAAATGAGTTTCTATTTATCACTAATGCTTTTAATCTAGTTAAGTAACAGTCTTCTTTCTGTTAGAGAGATCCAGTACACATTTAGAGCAGTAATTTTCATATGAGGGGTGGTAGAGTATATTGGAATCACCTAGGAGGCTTTTCTGAATTTTATCGAGGTGAATTTCCCAGGAGATTCTGGCTTTCCATCGCCCTTTTGCTGCAGTGGAGGTATGTGTCCTGTCAAATGCCCTTCCCTATCCTGCCTAAGAATCACTACTATAGAGAGCTTTAGTGACTGATGGGAGTAGAGTAGGTCCTATCCCACTGAGGCAGGATAAATATGATTGAGAACCACTATTACATAAAATAACTGTTTGAACTACTATAATACAAAGAAATACAGTTTGTCTATTTATTACACTTTCTAAGTGGACCATACACATGGCTGTTTTACAAGAGAAACATTCTTCCAGCAGAGTCCTTTTGATACTTTGGTAACCTATCTTCCTTAGCTGGGCCCCAAGATTCATAAAATCACCAATCTTTGAAATTGGAAGCAGGCAATGGTCATTCACCATCATCTATTAGATTTCCTTCATTTTGATGATGAGGCAACTCAGTCTCAGAGAAGCTAAGTGACTTTAACAGCTACACAATCAGGAGTACAGCTAGAAAGAGAATCCAGATCCTCTCATTCACAGTTGAGAGCTGTCTTTACACTACCAAGCATCATCTACTATTCCTATGGCAGAATTTTGCAACTTTTTTCATTATTCTCCTTAAGAGAAAAACTTGGAGCCCTGGTGGCACAGTGGTAAAGAGCTCAGTTGCTAACCAAAAGGTCGGCAGTTCAAATACACCAGCCACTCTCTGGAAGCCCTATGGGCCAGTTCTACCCTGTCTTATAGGGTTGCTATGAGTCAGAATCGACTTTATGGCAATGCATTTGGTTTTTTGGTCTTAAGGAGAAAAACTTAACTTTAACAAGAGAAATTACTAAGGAATAAAACACTGTTGAGTAGGACTGAGCTTTGTAGGGACACAAACTATCTTAATATCTAAGATTCCCCCTCCCCACTAGCTAATTTTATCACCTTGGGGTAATGTTCCCTTTTAGAATGCATGCCTAGAGTGAATTGCCCTACACAGTAGGCCCCAATAAACCTTTCCTTGACAGGGGTCAGGGAGTGAATGGTGATCAAAGGTTCTAAATGAGACTGCAAATAAATTTCCTTGATTGGAATGATAAAATACCTGTGAAGTCTGATGTATCAAGAAAACAGCAATTAGGAATCAAAACACTGAGTATCAGTATCTAGCTCTTTCTTTGACTAGCTGGGTGATCTTACACAAGTTTCTTAACCTAGGGTAATTTGCTCTTAAACAGTGCCTGAGGCACATTCTAAGGCCTCCGAGGGTTCTTCCCAAAAGTGTGAAAACTGCTGGACTAAATTATAATATCCAAGTTCTCTTCCAGCTCTAATATTCTACAAGTTTGTGCTTTTTTTTTTTTTTGTATCTAGACACTGTAGGCAAAAACTATCCAGGTGAATTCTTAAAGATCAGAAAACAAGCTAAACAACATAACTACAGTCAGAATCATGCTGACTTCTGATTCTTTTTGTGTAATTGTCAACAACTGACATGTACAGACCCTGAATTAAAGTCAATAATCTAATGTTTAACTTTCTCTTCGTCCCTAAATATTTTGCTAGGAGCTGCAAACAAGGTGCAAAACTACATTTTAGTTAACTCTGGAAACCCTATGGAGCAGTTCTACTCTGTCCTACAGGGTTGCTATTAGCCGCAATCAACTCGACGGCAATGGGTTTTATTTTGCTAGACTACCCATCAGAAGTGGCTTTACAGAGCAGTGAAATACCCAAAAGCTGTATCAAGGAGTGACTTTTGATAGGGAACAATAGAGAATATTGAAAATGGGACCCTGGTGGCGCAGTGGCTAAGAGCTTGACTGCTAACAAAAGGTCGGCAGTTTGAATCCACCAGCTGCTCCTTGGAAACCCTATGGGGCAGTTCTACTCTGTCCTGTATGGTCGCTATGAGTCGGAATCAACTTGATGGCAACAGATTTCATTTTGGTTTTATTTGGGCCCTGCAAAATCTCATCTACCCTCACTTGCTGGTAAAGAAACAGCTGCTGTAAGAGGCAAGGTGTCATTCAGCACTAATAAATGATTATGCTGATAGTACAAACAAAAAGGACTGGAGAAGATTAAATGCTATTGAAAGATCACTTAGAAGCCATTTTTAATGATTAGAAGCATTATCTCCTATTGCTCCATTTGATCACGCTCTTAGAGTGATCACACTGTGACTCTAAGCCCTCAATATGAAAAAAAATTCAGACTCCAAGAAATTTGCAAAATTTCTACATTGTAGAAGAATTTTAATAAGCCATATAAATGTTACATAAATAACTGGGCCCTAAAAATATCAAAGCAACCAAGCTGGGGTTATTAATTCAGGATTTGAAGACGCTCCCTCTCATCCTCTGCTGGTCCATGAATGAAGTCAATGGACTCCTCAGGAAGTCTGAGAACCCTCTGGAATCAAATGAAAAACTCTATTTGCCTATGTGTACTTTTCTGAAAAGAAGGCCGACAGATTTTGGGGCCTAGTGAAAAATTAACCACTCACAGCTTTAGCAACTGTCCTTCAAAAACAGCTGAATTATTTTAAGGTATACATTTACCTTTAGAGAGCTATAACTACTTAAGAGGAATTATTCATATTAAAAGCGGTTTCTTTAAATAGCTCAAATTTGTTTGTATATGTTTTGTTTACAGATAGATCACTTTCTAACTGGCTAAGAGACACCTGGGGGGATGCAATGGGATTCTTCCCAGTCTGTGGTCACATTTACCCCTTCTTAAGACCATATCTGGTGAAAAGTCAGGACCCATGCTGACTCTAATTATGAGACCATAAGGACTGGAAAGGAGGTAGGTGGAACTCTAATTTTTGGAAGGATCACACTTAAACCATTTAAAACACTGGAATGTAATTATAAAGAAATGCAAAAGACAACTATAACGCAAAATCTATTACCTGTCAGTATCACCATATACAACCCTAGCACCCCATTTCTTGGTATCATTCACCAGTTTAATAGCTCGTTCCAAGGTTTCTCTTGCTTTGTGAACAATACTATCACCAATCTGTTGGTACAAACACACAGGAAATAATTTCTTAACACAGTTCAGTATAAGTCAACATACTTTAACATATAATGCTTAAATTTAATTATAGGCAGTTCTCGGGTTACGAACAGACAACTCCGACTTGCCCTTTGATGTTATGTAAATTTGCCCTTACTTTGAAACTGCTGAACCAACCCCTGTTGGCAAGAGATTCTTCATCACAATCACCTTCACTTGCTACACATGCAGTTTTTAAATCACTGAAAAGGCTTTGAGCCTTTTCTTGTACTAAAGTAAGGCTAAATAAGAACCCTGTGCACTTGTTCTGATTTACCTACAAATTCAACTTGAAGACTTAAAGACACAGTTAGGAACAGATCTCGTTTGTAACCTGGAGACTGCCTGTACTAAATTATTTCAAAAAATAAAGAGAAAATAATGTAAATAGAGAACAAAATAAGCCATCAAGTATCATAGTCTTTCTACAAGTACTCGAGGAGAAAATAGGACAGATGAATCTGAAGACCATGCAGTACGATGGATTCAGGAGCACTTAGGGGTGGAGAGTAGCCTGGCAGCGCAGTGGTTAAGAGCTATGGCTGCTAACCAAAAGGTCAGCAATTCAAATCCACCAGCTGCTCCTTGGAAACCCTATGGAAGCAGTTCTACTCTGTCCTATAAGGTTGCTATGAGTCAGAATTGACTCAACGGCAATGGGTTGGGGGTGGGGAGAGAGGGAAGGAGTGGTAATTAAATTAAAACTGATTCTGCTACTTTTTGCCATGGTTCCTAATTTGAAAAGCATTACTGTAATACAGTACTAAGAGATTGGGTTTAAAATGAGGAAAATAAGCGGTTTCACAATTTAGGCAATGGTTGGGATCCCACAAAATCATAAGAAGAACGTTTAAAGCAAAAATTAATTTTATGAAAAGAAATAAAAAGAGACAAAATTTAGCTAGTTAAAAAAAATTGTCTCGTGTGTGAGTGTGTGTGTGTGTGTGTGTGTATGGCTTTCTTATAAATACAAGCAGTAAACAGTTTAGAATAAAAAGGTGAACATGTCAAACTTTAAATTTATGAAACAAATAAGTCAGTGACCATGTCCAACTAAGACAGACATGATTATTGTTGTGTGCCGTCAAGTCGATTCTGCTCATAGCAACCCTATAGAAACATTAGCCTACAACTCTTAGCTATGTTATTCTCCACTTCTTCCTTATAGGAATTCTTGTAGTACTTTTGGTGATCCTGGTGTACTGGCACATTATTTTTGATTGTGGGTTCACTGAAGGAAAGCACACGGCCAGAGTCAGTAATAATTTATCTTTCTCAATGTGGCTGATAGTTTGTTTTGACTCCAATGGTGCTAGCTTTTCACTTAATCTAAAAGCCCTTTCTGTGACGTTAAATGACTTTTTCCACTCATGAGTTCACTTACAAGTTAAAACAACACTTAGGAAATGCAAGTTTGCAGTCATTAACCTCAGAATGTCTGAAAAGTCCAGGGTCAGAGAGGCAGAGGTTGCTTGGCAATCAGCCTTCACCAGGCTAAATATTAGCATACTTCCTGGGAGAACTCCACATGTAAACCTCCACTGATAGTTCAAGAGATTCCAAATTATGGTATTATAAGTTTTGAATATTTGTGCATATATATATATATATATTAATAATTTTCAAATTGAGAGGTAGGAAAAATGAGAGAAGTGTGAAAATGGCCTAAGACTTGATATCCCCACTCTACATCAATAATATAATCATTTCTACTTTTTCTACTAGATCGTATAGATCAGTTTTTCAAATGAGAATGATATGAACTCCCAGTACTGACAAAGTATTTTTATATTACCTAAAAATATACAAACATAAAACTAGATATAACATTCTATGCTTACAGTCTTTACAGTAAAACAAAATAAAAAAAAATTTATCTAGTACAAACAAAATAATATGACTAAAAAATCGAAGTTAACAGTATTATTTTTACATGATGGATGCTGTTTTGCTGCTCTTAATGTGAACATGCCACGGATTGCCTTGCTCAAGTTCTTTGGAGTTCACTTTGCCTACTGTGAGCTGTGGGCATTTTATTCTTTCACTGCTTTTCTCTTATTGAACTACTGCAAATATGGTATACCATCATTTCCCTGGCCCTCATTTGGCATGAAAAGATCATTAACACAATAAGTCTACTCTGCTCTTTTCTCAATCACCAGTAGATTATTACTCTGTTATACTATGCTGTATTCATGTCAAATTAATACCTTAATTTAGTAAAATAACAATAAATAAGTCTTATTCTATGAAAAATGTCTTTCAAATGCAACTGATCACTGCAAAAGAAAGGTTTTGCTTTATATCTACTAGTACACTGGTAAATATGAAATGATTGTTGTTCATTCCGATATTTAGACAACCCAACCTAATTATAATCAGATCTTTATTAACACATTAAAAGGAATAATTTAAAATATGCTAACAGTTGGTTAAGGAGTCCTGGCGGGTGTGATGGTTAAGTGCTTGGCTGCTAACTGAAAGGTCGGCAGTTCAAACCCACTAGCAGTTCATGGGAGCAGACCTGGAAATCTGCTCCCGTAGAGATTACGGCCTAGGAAACCTCATGGGCAGTTCTACTCTGACCGATAAGGTCGCTATGAGTCAGAATCGACTCTATGACACCCAACAACAATAACAATAGCTGGTTACAAAATGGTTATCCAGATGATGCAGAAAAATGTGTATGCTAAATTTTAAATTATTATTAAAATAAAAACATATAACACAAATAAAAACCTCTCAAAGAGAAAACCCCAAGATCCTTAAGAATATGTATATGGACCCTGGTTTGTAAAAAACTGATCCTACTGTCAGGGAAATGAATCCTTTAAAGTTTCAAAACAGAAGAAAATGCTTTAATGAACAGGACTTCATTTAATGCTATTTTAGTCTCTTTTGAAAAAGCTATAGATTTATGTATCACTTACCTCAATGCATGGCATTCTTCCAGAAAAATTAGCAGCTGTATAGCCAAACGTGACATTTGCTATAAGCTTAAGTCCTAGCTGACGTGCCTCAAGCATTCGTGAAAGGACTCGGTCTTGCTTGTAAGCCTTCATTGACTGCTTCACCATAAGCCTGGTTTTTAGAATTTCTTCCAGCATTCTTGGTAGCACACCCTTTCTTACTGAGGGCTATCATAAAGGAAAAAGAATATTTAAAATCCCTCAAACTTTATAGATTTAGATAACTACGAAGGAAGCACAAAGTCTAACAATGGGCAACCGTCACAAATTGAAACATGGTAACAACAGAGTGGCCACAGGACTAGTGTCATCAATACAAAATCATCATACTTTTTTTGAAAAAATTTTGAAGAGAATTTTTCTCCTAAAAGGTTCCTGTAATGTTTATTAATTTAATGTCACACTACTGAGTTCAGAGACCTCCACGGAGGAGGATGTCATCTGAGTACATAAGATACCATATAACATGTTTAAAGGGAAATTTTGTTCCAAACTTTGAGCCAAACCCCCACTCTTTCAGAAAGACACATGGGATTTGTATCACTCATAACAAACCTAAGTTTTTAAAGATCTCATCCTAATGACCCCACACAGTAATCTGTATGGAACTCCATTTATCTACCTTGGAAGAATGATGAGCTGGGTTGACTCTGCTGACATTCAAACCTGCAGTTCCAGGGACTCTAGGTATTTCAAATCTGATGCTTAGACCACTAAGCCATCCCCTCCGGCCTATATTTATTAGCAATCTGGAAGAGGGGATGAATAGTGAGGTGATAAAATTTGTTGATGCCAAAAAAAATCATTTGTATTAATCAAGACTAGGGAGAATTTATGAGAACTCCAGTAGGAATGAAAACCACAAAACAGTATTAACTTTGAAGATGATTCAGAGACACGTCCAAAGTAATGCATGTCAGACTGAACAATTAAAACCTCAGGTATAGGATAATCGCACTTCTGAATATTAAAAAATCTTATTTTCATTAAGCTTTACACATTGGGTCAAATTGCAGATTCAAGTTGTTTTTTTTTTTTAATTGTGGTAAAAATACATACAATAAAACATCTGCCAGTTCAACAATTTTTACATGTACAATTCAGTGACACTGATTACGTTCATCATATTGTGCAACCATCCTTTTCCAAATGATTCTACCGTCATTAACAGAGACTCAGTGACCCCTAAGCAATGACTCCCTCACAAATACAAGTTTTAAAAATGCTATTAAAGGAAGATTAATAAACTGCTACATATGTGATACTGAAAACCAGGGCTTTGAACTGGTTTGTTCCGGTTCAAACCCCTGCTGAGAATTTGCATTTCCACCCCAGATATACTGAGTAAGAATTTATAGTTTAACAAGATCCCCATGTGATTCTTATGTATAATAAAATTTGAGAACCACTGCCCTACTTACTAGAGGAGCCCTGGTGGTGCGGTGGTTAAGAGCTCAGCTGCTAACCAAAAAGGTGGACAGTTTGAATCCATCAGCTGCTTCTTAGAAACACTATGGGGCAGTTCTACTCTGTCCTATAGGGTCGCTATGAGTTGGAATTGACTTGATGGCAACAGGGGCTCCACTAGTGGTTCTCACGATTGGTCCCTATCAGCATTATTAGCATAACTTGGGAACTTGTTAGAAATGCAAATTCTCAGCAGGGGTTTGAACTGGAACAAACTGGTCTGAAGCCTTGCTGAAAACATATTTTAACCATGAATTCATTCTATGTACCTTCTGAAGCAGCCACAATGTTTTAAAATGTAATATAAAAATAAGAGGGGCCAAATATGCAGAAATGTAGTGATGTGAAAACTGTTATTTACGTGGGGAGCCTTTTAATAAAAAATCTATTTCCATGTTTCCAAGTAGATCTCATCTACATCAGTCCGTGGAAATACTGCATCTTAAAAATTTCCACAAAGGAGTATACCATGAACTCCTGGTAAAAAATTTTCTCATATCTAATTCATTTATGAGGCTTTCCCAGTCTCTTTTGAAAGGAGATAAGGGAGAGAAAAAAGGGACCCTGTTACTTTGGGTATATTCTTGAAAATGTACTCAATAAATACATGAGAGTATCATTATTTCCAAGACAGCCTTATTTAATTTAAAATAATCTGGAAGACAAGTAGAGTTCACACATTAAAGTGATTTTAAAAATTTTACAAGAAACATCTTTGTGATCTTCAAATAGCTATTTAAATCTGCCAGATTCTAATAAAGGGCAGAAGGTATACATGTACATTTCTTTCTTTCAATATTTTATTAACTAAAATTTAACAATTAAAAGATTTCAAGCCTAAATTCAAGCAAAATAAGACAACTTTTTTTTTTTTTGAAGTGATCTCTTAGAAGATTCCTTCTATCTTTGACTTTCTGAGATATAATATTCAAGCAAATCTGGTGTTTTTGTTTTCTATTATATGCTAACACATCTAAACCACCAGCTCTCCAAAAGCGAAGCCATAGTTGGTACCTTTCATTTACAAGAGAGTATTATTACCTTGACAAAAGCTACTCCATTGGGGGATACCGTGATATCATGCCTAATTTGGTAAAGTAAATCTGGAGGTACTCTTAGAGAGGTGCAGCCAAATTTGAACTCATCAAACCTGTTAAGAAAGAAAATATAAAACAAATAGTTTCTCAAATCATAGAATAGGTGTTTTAGGCTATTTTAGGAGTCTTTCTAATTCCACTTGAAATTCACTTTCAAACATCTAAACATGAATTCAAGTACTCAGCAATATGTTTATCTGCCTAACTACCAAAAAACAGTTCTTCAAATATTCACAACTTATTAAAAGGAACTTAAACAGCACTATCCTAAAACTTATGAGTAAAACCTATATAAAATACCAAATTTCAACTCAACATATGATTACTTTACACTGAGTTCCTTAAAAATTTAAACCTTAAATGAAAAGATTGTAAATAACCTCTCCAAATTCTTATTCTTAATAAAAAGAGGATTAGCAATACCATTTTTGCAAATATTTACTATGAAGGAGTGGGGTGTACTCTAGACTAAAACCATAAAATTTCGTCTTAAATACACAAAAATCATTATAAAGGAAGACTTTTTTTTATGAGAAAAAATTTACTTCTTTAAGTATTTAAAATGCTATTCTATTTGGTTTATAAAAAATTGATTCACATGAATTAGTAAAATCTAACATATAACAATTTAACTTAAAAAAAATCAGACTATTTCTGAGAAAAGCCGAGAGAAGGTGACAGCCAGAGTTATGAGATCATAATCATCATAATGATCTATACTAACAAACTAAACCTACTCTCCTTTTAAAAGAGGCTGCAGCTATACATGGAGTGCAAAACAGATAACCACAACGCTGCTCTATTCAGGATCTTCTTCATATGAATCATCCATCCATGAAGCTGTATTAATCATATGGTGATCCATGCCAATTAGGTAACTGCAATGAATGGATCAGCTGTACTACATACTATTCATCTTGCTTGTAAGGACAGTCTCATGTGTAAAGAAACGCTCAAAGTCTGTCCAATTTTAAAAAACTACAAAGAGCAACAACATAATTGTAAATATGAAAAAAAAATCTTACTTTCCCAAGTTCTCCACATGACCAAGGCAGGTGGAAAAACAGTAGTTGTATGCAATCACAATAGAAGGATATAGTGACTGGAAATCCAAAACAAGAACAGAGTTGCTATAGAAGCGGGATTCAGGCTCCATAATTAAGGGAACACACTGCGGGGCTCTCATTTGGAATCTCTGCTGAACACTAGGTGTCACAGGAATATAGTTCATTGGTTTAGCAATACGCAACATCATTGACTCCACACGGTACTGAAAGGAGGAAGGGGGAGGTGAAAAGAGGAAGAAACATAGTTTAAATATTAAATACACTGGTCATTTGAATATGTGATAACTACCTGGGGATGTTTTACTCTTCATAATAAAGCTGCATGACTTTATTACAATACAGTTACACAGTCTAGTATTGGTTATTTAGTCAACCTGCAGGTACCTGAAGGGGGAATATGTAAATCTTTCTCCTATTCCTTTAACATTGATAAAAACTATAAAATATATCAAAATGACTTAAAAAACAAGTTAATTTTGAAAAGATAACTACTGAAAGTTTGATGATCTGGACCCACCCAGAGGTGCCTTGGAAGACAGGCCTTGTGATCTGCTTCTGGACGATCACAGCCTTGAAAGGCCTATGGAGCAGTTCTACTCTGCACACGTGGGGTCATCATTGAGTTGGAACTGGCTCAAAGGCAACCAACAACAACAGAAAAGACAACTGCATAGTTTGGCAACCTCATTTAAAAAGCTGGTCAGCAATCTTTGAGAAATTTATTTGGGAAAATAAGAGAATGAAAGGGGTGCTAGGAGATTTGAGATAAAGAAACGTTATTTGAATTTTTCAAGAAGGAAACAAGGAATCCAGAACTGAAAGGTTGTCAGCTTAACACACCAGTCCCTGTTAAAACTGGGGTTCTGAGCAATACTGATTGTTTATAATAGCCACTAGATTGTATGGTGTATTATTAAGCAGATGGTTTGGGGTATTAGAAATAGAAAGCATTCAAACCAGAATCGACATGCATTCAGTGAAATGCTCTCAGGTGGTTTTAATGTATCTTTGCTTTTTTTTTTCTTTAAATTGTATTTTAGATGAAGGTTTACAGAACAAACTAGTTTCTCATTAAACAATTAATTCACATATTGTTTTGTGACACTGGCTGCCAACCCCACAAGGTATCAACACTCTCCCCTTCTCGACCTTGAGTTCCCCATTACCAGCTTAAATATCTTTGCCTTTTATTATAAGCCAGCTCAAACATTTTTTAAGGATTTGGGGTATTAATAAACAAAGTAAATAGGTTATAAATAATAATATTAAGGAAATAAACAGGCAATGCCAAAGTAGCTACAGCTATATTTGCTGAACTGGTTTGGGAATGTTACAGACATACAATAATTAAAATGAAAGGTTTCATGAAGTTAAAAGGACCCTGAGTGATTTAATGTGGCATTATTAAATACTATAGATGTTTAAATAAATATATGTTGAATGAATGCATGAAATCAATTTCAGCAAGGCATTTGATAAAATCTCTCATCATTTCTTTCAGAAGTTGGATGGAGAGAATGAATCAATAGTCTCTAAGGTTCTATTTTTCTTTAATATCTTAAAAAGTTATATGGCTCACTTATATCAATTTTCAAATCTTTCCTTTTCACATTACAATTATCTGTTGGGAGTTAGAAGAAGCCAAAATTAAGGATGCCAAAGAAAAGAGAGGTAGACGTTCTTTGCTGCTTCCCCAGTTCTTAGGGGCCTTTGAAGGCAACCTTAATGACACTGACAATATTCAGGAACATAATATCATCCTCAGGGGCATGGAAACTTATCAATATCATGAAAAACTTGGCAGTGGCCAGAACGTTGATAGAGAAAGAAAATAAAAGGTGAAGCTGTTAAGAGTGAAATTAAAAATTTCCCAGAAAATAAAATGACAAGATTTGATTAGCTAGCTATTGAGTAGTTGGTACCAGGTACAAAGTTAAAAAAAAGTCAAACGACTTTCAAACATCTCAGAAGTGGATCATTCACATTTTAAATGTCGAAGAAAAATTGATTTCCTACCTGTGAACCCCTTGTCAGTACATGTAAAAACTGAATGCCAAAAAGTCTAGCCATTTCACTGGTTTTCCCAATCAGGTCCAGCTGTTCTAACATTTGGAGGTTTCCACGGACACGGCTAACATAATGATCAACCATTTTCCATCTGTTAAAATAAAGAAGCCATGCTATGAACATCAGGGAAAAATCTGGCCACTTGAAACTAGTACTGTTTTCATTCTGCCAAAAACCTGCACATTAAAAGTGACATTACTTTGGGAGATGGGAATGATGATGTGAGCCCTTAAGCAAAGTGATACTAAGGAGTTAAAGATTAGAAAATTTCAAGTATTTTAAGGATATAAAGCCCAGTGAAAATATACAAAATTTAGAACAGTATTTGTGATAAGATGGTAAGAAAATTCAATAGGGAATGGAATTAAAAAACAACAACAACAATGGAATAAGGATATCTATATGGAAAAAAAGAGCCCCGATCATTACTTCATACTACACACAAAAGTTAATTCAAAATGAACCATATTCCTAAATGCAAAAGCTAAAACTATAAAACTTCTATAAGAAAATACAGGGAAAAAAAAAAAAATCTCTGCAACCTTGGGGTAAGTAAAGACTTCTTAGAAAGAACACAAAAGATCACTAAACATAAAATAAAAATTGATAAAACTGGACTTCATCAAAATTAAAACCTTCTGCTCTTCTACTGACATCATTATGAAAAGGGAAAGGCAAGCCACAATCTGGGGAATACATATAAATATGTGACAAAAAATGTATATCCAGAATACAGAAAGAATTCTTACAACTCAAGAATAAGACAACTCAATTAAAAATGGACAAAAGACTTGAACAGACATTCCACAAAAGATGATATATGAATGACAGTAAGCACATGAAAAGATTTTCAACATCATTACTTATTAGAGAAATGCAAATAAAACACAGTGAGGTACTACTTCACACCCACTTAGAATGGCTGAAATTAAAAAGACCGAAAATACTTGGTGTTGGGGCAACTGGCACACTCACACACTTCTAACAGGAATGTGAAATGGTACCATCATTTTAGAAAACAGTTTGGCAGTTTTTAAAATAGTTAACACACACTAACCATGTGACCCAGAAATTCTACTCCTAGGTAGCTACTCTAGAAAAATGAAATGTATGTCCACACAAAGACTTGCATACAAACTTTTTTACAGTTTTATTCATAATTGTCTCAAACTAGAAACAACCTAAATGTCCATCAACAGGTGAACGGATAAATAAATTATGGTATATTCATATAATTGAATACTACTCAGTAATAAAAAGTAACCAACTACTGATTTATGCACATGGCCAAAATCTCAAAAACATTATGCTGAGTTTCTTAAAAGAAGTCAGATACAAAGGGGTACATCATAAATAATTCCATTTATATGAAGTTCTAGAGCTGGCAAAATTAATCTATGGTAATAGAAATTCAATTAGTACTTAGCTGGGTGGTTAGGAGACGGGTAAGTTGACCGTAAAGTTGTACAAGGGAACTTTCTGGGTGTAAGATATGTTCTTTATCTTGATTGGGGTAGTGGTTACAGGCTGTATACATTTTTCAAAGTCATCAAACAATACACTTAAAATGTATGCAATATATTGTATGTAAATAATACCCCAATAATGTTGATTTTAAAGAAGAGGTATTATCCTCCTTGGATTTATAAAACATTACCTGTATAGATCTGTCTTGTTATCAAACCAATCTGACAATACCCGAAAGGTAAAGAGGGGAAAACGCTGATGAAGAACATGAAAGCTCACATTTTCAAAGGTGTAGTTAGTTAGAGACACCTAAAAAAAAAAAACAAGACACCATTATCATAATGCTTGTATTTAAGCGGAAAATCTAGTTCTAAAAGATCTCAAAGATTTCTTCAAATTTTTCATGGTAAATATGAAAGATCTACATGTAAAAATGATTTGGGTTGCAAATGATTGATTAATTTAAAACTGTGTATAGCTTACTGGACAGAAATGGTCACTGAATTGGAGAAAAAAATCAGACTTGATGAGACTCAACTTGGTAATGTAACACTTATATTAAGAGATCCCAGTTCTTATCACTTCTTTTTACATTATGCCAGTACAAATACTGACAGACTTAAGCGTTGTTAAGCAAGTTAATTTTTTGCTGTTTACTTATTGTTTGGTCTTTAATGACATGCTGATTAATGGCATTCCACAGATTCAAGGATAAGTCATCTAGTTAAGGCAGGCATTCACCCTACTCCCAAGAATAACATTAGTACTAAGACCCAATACACATTATGGCATTATGGAGTCACTTAATTTCATTACAGAAAATGGCAGAAATGTCTCCTCATCTTCAATATACAGGCAAAAGTTTTGTTAATGGGAAAGGAATACTGAAAAACGGTCCAAATTCATAAAACATACCTCTAGCTAGATGTTCTCTCAGAAATACCTACAAGACACAGCAATCTAGACAATGGCGAGTATTTCAATACAAAATGAAAATCAAGGAACAAGCAGACCCTATTCTCTAATCCGTTTGGGATTTCAATAGTTGAAACAGTACTTTACATTCTATATTACTTTATAATTTTAAAATATTTTCTTTTCCACGTCTACAATTAAGGAAGTACAAAACAGGGATAAAATGTTAGGCATATCTCAGTCCAATGACCCAAGCTAGGCTTACTTTAACTACAATTTCTATCAATCTACAGAATGACAATGTTGGAGTACACCATACTTCATTATCATCTTTGGAGAAAGGCTAGTACAACCAACAGATTCCTATTCTTCACTAAAAGAACAGGGGAAGATATCTATGTTCATAACTATACAAGGGTAAATGAAAAAATATTGCCACAAAATCACAGAAACCTTTATTAAACAAAAATATCAAAAGGTGAAGCTATCGTTTCTCGACATATCCTCCATTAAGGTCTATACACTTCTGAAGGCGGTGTTTCCATCTCTCTACCCATCCCTGAAGAATTTTGCGCTCTTCAATTTACACCATGTCAAAACGGCAGTTTTGGCATCTGCGAGGGACTCAAATTGTGTTACCATTAGATGTTCTTTGAGTTTTGGGAACAAAAAGAAGCCTGAATGAGCCAGATTAGGGCTGTAGCATGGAGAGGGTAAGGTTTCCCAACAAAATTCTCGTAGGACAGCCCTTGCTACTCTCAAAGAATGAGCAGGTGCATTGTCGTGATGGAAAGAAATTCCTCGGTGCAACTTTCCTGGCCTTTTTCTTAGCAATGCAGTTTTCAATTTTCTTAAAACTTCTTCATAATAAGCCCCCGTGATTGTTCTGTGTCCTTTGAGAAAACCTATCAAGATCACCCCTTTGGAATTCCAAAAAACAGTCACCATAACCTTCTAAGTAGTCTTCCCTCTCTTGGCTCATCTTTGAGGTCTTCCTGACCTTCCTTAATATGCTTGATCCATCTAAAAACTGCTGTTTTATGTGGGGCAACATTCTCATAAACTTCTTGCAAAGCTTCAATGATTTGGGAAGATGTCTACTTGAGTTTTGTTAAAAATTTGGTATTAACCCTGACCTCAAAATTGTTTTTTTACCATGGCACAAAAAGTATTTTTTTTTTTGAAGGCACCTTACTAAGACACGTGTATTACTGACAGAACTTGTCTACAGCCATCCACTGATTGCAGAGACATGTTTAACATGTTTTGCTTGGAATAAACCCATGCATGTATGAACTGGAACCCTAGTAGCAATACTTTTTGACTTACCCTTGTACACTTCAAATAGAATTAAACTCTTAAAAGGGAGGTAATAAGTACAGGCAGTCCCTGAGTTACGAATGTCCAACTTATGTACAACCCATAATTACGAACCAACCACCATTGGTAATAACATTCATTGGTTTGTAATAACAGGCACTACTTTGTCACTTGCATCAAAACATTATTATTATTGTATTATTATGTTAAAGATGTTTTAGTGTATCTGGAAGTGTTTCTTTAATCTTTTTTATGCATAGAACGATATACTATAGACTAAGACAAACATCTGACTGACATTAGATACAGACCGTACGGTACCTAATTATTCCAACTTAGGTACAAATGCAAATTAAAAACAGACTTAGGAATGGAACTTGTTCATAATCCGGGGACTGCTTGTATGTCATTTCTTTTTTATATTTTAAGAAAAGGTTAGAGTAGCTTAATCAAACATAGACTTCGGCAATTTTAGAGTAAAAATTAGGGGCTGAAGATTCTTGAGCACAAAAATAATTTTAATAACAATTTGTCTAGTTTTGTTGTGTTTTACTATCAACTTACTTTAAATCTGTTTTGTAAATATGGTGGAGTGTGTGTGTGTGTGTGTGTGTGTGCTCATATACAAACACACATATAAAGCAAGTACTAAGCCATTATCTGAGAAGTAAATTACCATCCATTCAAAAAATCTGTATTGGCTTGGAATACTAATGACTAATGACATTGAGTATCTTTTCATGCGCTTGTTGGCCATATGTATATATCCTCTGGTGAAATGTCTATTCAAATCCTTTGCCTATTTTTCAATTAGGTTGTTTGTCTTTTTGTTGTTATACTGTAGGAGTTCTTTATATATTCTGGATATTAAACCCTTATAAGATATATGGTTCCCTAAAATTCTCTCCCAATCTATAGGTTGTCTCTTCACTTTCTTGATAAAGCCCTTTGATAAACAAAAGTTTTTACTTTTTAAGAGGTCCCATTTATATGTTTTGTCTTTTGCTGCTTTTGCTTTTGGTGTCGGATCCCAGAATCTACTGTTAAAAACTAGGTCCTGAAGCAATACCCTGTATTTTCTTCTGAGAATTTTATGGTTGTATTTCTCACATTTAGTCCTTAATCTAAATTGTTTTTTTTTTTTTTAAATCTGTGTCCTCCTCTACTAAGTTTTATCTGAGCTACTCCAACAATCTTCTCACTGGTTTCATCTCTAGTTTTATCCCCTTCCACACTGCTACCAGAGGTATAGGTCTTAAGCAGTAAAATCACATCACTCCTTTCAACGGGATGTTGTGGTTCAATTAGTATCTGGTTAGCAACCCCTTCCAACTTCTAATTAAAAACTAACAGATGTGTGGATGCAAGCATATGTTCTTATATGATGCTTCTTTGTATCTTAGCAAGTAGTTGTACCCAAGCATTTACATAATGAAATGTATATTATTTTATAATAAATTAATTTTCTTTTAGCTCTCCTTTATATTATGGATAGGGCATTATGTTGCTTTTTTTGAAATCAGGTATACCCATTGCTGTTGAATCGATTCTGACTCATAGCAACCCTAAAGGACAGAGTAGAACTGCCCCGTAGGGTTTCCAAGGAGCAGCTGGTGGATTCAAACTGACATTTTGGTTAGCAGCTGAATGCTTAACCACTGTCCCATATGGAGTAGTTTATATTATCTAAAAATTTCATTTCCGGCTTTTAAAGAGGGCATTACAAAATATTTGTAATAAAAAGGGGTTGATAGCCACTGCCTTAAGCAGGTGAGTGTTAGTGTAGCTGAAGCCTGAAACTGGGCTAAAGCCTTCCCTGGGTAGTACCTTCAAAGGTAAACACTGTACTGTTGCTGTTATTGTGTGCCTTCAAGTTGATCCTGACTCATAGCAACCCCATGTGAAAAGAGTAGAACTATCCCATAGGGTTTCCTAGGCTGCAATTTTTTTTAAAACTGTACTTAGATAAAGGTTTACAGAACAAACAAGTTTCTTATTAAACAATTAATATATATATTGTTTTGTGACGTTGGTTGCCAACCCCAAGACATGTCAACACTCTCCCCTTCCTGACCCTGGATTCCCCATTACCAGCTTTCCTGTCTCCTCCTGCCTTCCTGTCCTTGTCTCTGGGCTGATGTGCCCATTTAGTCTCGTTTTGTTTTGTGGCCATGCCTAACCTTTGGCTGAAGGGTGAACCTCAGGAGTGACTTCGATACTGAGCGAAAAGGGTGTCCGGGGGCCATACTCTTGGGGTTTTTCCTAGGCTGTAATTTTTACGGGAGCAGACTGCCATGTCTTTTCTCTCATTGAGTAGCTGGTGGGTTCGAACTGCAGACCTCTTGGTTAGCAGCTGAGCACTTAACCATTGTGCCACCAGGGCTCCTTAAACACTGTATTAGCAGAGGAATTTTCTTCTTCAAACAATATTCCTGAGAAGGGTCTTCTCTAAAAATATGTTCAATATGTATTTATTTTTCTTAGTTATTAAGAATACAGAGGATATAAACAGACATTTGACCAGACACATGAGGAAATGCTCACGATTATTAGCCATTAGAGAAATGTAAATCAAACTACAGTGAGATACCATCTCACCCCAACAGGCTGGCACTAATTCAAAAAACACAAAATAACAAATGTTGGAGAGGTTGTGGAGAAACTGGAACTATGCACTGCTGGTGGGAATGTAAAATGGTACAACTACTTTGGAAAACAATTTGGCACTTACTGAAAAGGCTAGAAATAGAAATACCATACGATAGCAATCCCACTCCCAGGAATACACCTAAGAGAAATAAGAGCTGTCACATAAATAGATAAATGCATACCCATGTTCATGGCAGCACTGTTCACAATAGCAGAAAGATGGAAGCAACCTAGGTGCTCATCACCAGATGAATGGATAAACAAATTATCATACATACACACAATGGAAGACTATGCAACGATAAAGAACAATGATGAATCCGTGAAACATGTCACAACATGGATGAATCTGGAGGGTATTATGCTGAGTGAAATCGGTCAGTCACAAAAGGACAAATATCGTACGAGACCCCTATTATAAGAAC